CAGAAAGCAGAGAATGTGGAACTACAAATGACAGGCAAGAGAATGATTTGGAAAAGGATGCTTTACTAGATATACAAAAGAAAATGGCTAGTTTTAAAAATTAAAAGGGAAATACAAATGATATACCAAGAGAATGACTTGGAAAATGTCTTACTGGATTTACAAAAAAGGCTTGTTAAAGCCTTGAGGAAATCTGTGCGATGGGATAAACAAGAATTGAAGAGAAATCATCCAACAACAATATATGTCTGAATTAAAGATTAAGACTGTTAGAAGTTTTTTAAAAAAAGGAATATAAAGTTGGTATATTTGATCAAGGTTAAAATAAGACATTTTGTTGCAATGTTCTGGCAACTCTTTACAGACTTTTTGTTGACATCAAGATTGAAAAGTTGATGTTTTATGGATTTGTTTATAGATGAGGGATGGGATATGGGATAAAGAGATATCTGTTTAACCATATGGGGGTGAAGAGTTATTAAATTTGTTTATACTTGCGATAATTTTGGAAGTCACATCCATCCATCCATCCATCCATCCATCCATCCATCCATCCATCCATCCATCCATCCATCCATCCATCCATCCATCCATCCATCCATCCATCCATCCATCCATCCATCCATCCATCCATCCATCCATCCATCCATCCATCCATCCATCCATCCATCCATCCATCCATCCATCCATCCATCTATTTCTTTTTCTTTATTATAGTCTCTCTTTTTCATCTTTTTCTCTTTTGCACCTTTTATTCTTCTCATTTTTTTTTCTTTCTCTAAGCTAAGTTTGCATTAGATTTTACTACTGCAATTAAAATTCTTAATAAAAACCATATTTGAGAGATTTTGTACAGCTGATATTGATGCAGAAATTATTATAATGTATATACTGCATTATGCTAGCTTACTGATTCCATACTGATACTGATATAATATGCTTGATTGATTCTGTAATAGGATATTATGCTAGTGACAACAAAAATAAATTATTTGCTTCAGAAAATGATTTACAGATAAATCACTGTATACATAAGATCTCAAGAGACACACTTTCTGGGAAGTTTAATAATGTATTTCAAAATTATCAATGGATCCCGTAACTGGTAAACTAGAATAATGACACATTAAATGACTTTTGAATATACAGCTATAACTAACACAGAGCAGAGCAAACTGTTTCCTATTGCTAGCACAGCTACTAAACTGAGGGCATACCTAAAAATAATATAGTCCAAAACCATAAATAACAGCCATATCATATCAGTTTGGATTATCTGTCGCTATGAGCACGCACACTCAAACCATACTGTGTGGTTAAAGTTACCTGCTACACAGAAAACTAAGCCACTTGTCATTCTTCCTATATTTTCATGCTTAAGTCCTCTGTAGTAGCTCTAGATAGTCAAGGATGTGCTATTATTCAGAGTTTTCCAAAAACATTCGTTCTACATACAATCTACCTTTTCAGCACATGGTGGAGCTAGCGTTCTATTAATCTTGATATTGCAGTCAAAGCAAGTTGCTACCAGTTTATTGATTTATGACCTTTCAAGCTGTAATCGATCTTTGGGCTTATGGGAGATGGAAAAAACCTGATACCAGGAATGGAAGTACACATGTATTCTATTGTGTTAACAAAATCAAGTTAGAATTTTACCTCAAGAAAATATACCGCATTCATAAAGTTAAAAATCTAACTACAATGTAAATTGACTTTCAACTTATTTTCACTTTGTTTCTTATATTCCTCCATACCCAGTGAAATTTTGCACTGAAAGTAATAAAACATTTATTTGTCAGTTATAAGAAATATTAACACTAGAAGCATTTACTTCAGTTATAATAATATAGTTCCCCATGGAAGTGATGCTAAGAATCCAAATTCAAAGCAGTGGTTAAATTGAACATTATTAAGAAGTAAGAATTGAAGTCTAGGTTCCTAGACAAATAACCTAAAAGGTATGGATAAGTATTTAAAAAAACACCAAAACATTTTAATTGCCGTTTTTATGCTGTTTAGTTTGGGAGATTTTTTAAAATTAGGCTGGGCAGAATTTCTATACTGCACAAAACATCTCAGTTAACACCCAGCACCTATGTACTTCCTTGAAAACCTATTCTGGATGGCTGTGGTGCCTACCAGTGAAAAAGAAAGGGAAAGGGAAATCTTCTTATGCTAGTAATTTAATAAATAGCACAAACAAACCTTTGATGATGATGGTGGAGTAGGAAAATTAAGCCAGGCTGGAGCAAAGTCATGCTGCGCCATTTAGGTCCAGTCTCCCAATCAGTGAAACAAGGCTTCAACACCTCATGACAATACCTGTCAAAAAAATGTAATGAGCTTTTATGCATGACAGATATTTTAATCCTGGGGCAATTAATGTAACAGAAAATTTTTAAAAAGCTAGAAACACTACTAAACAACACAAATGCATAATGTACTTTACATAATGCATTTGGAAAAGCATGTTAAATGAACAAACACTGAGATCTTATATTTTAAACAAGAGAAAAGATTTTAAATGTCAACCATTTTTAATACTGAAATCATTAAAATTCCCATTTTTATCTAATTAAAAAAGATTTATATCAGCATCCTGGTAGATGATGCTTGTACATGTAACGTTTCCTATACAAATGCTTTAATCAAAAGTTCCCATTATGCAAGTAGAAGTGAGGAGAAAAGAAAAGGAGAAACTCTGCTTGCATCTTCAATTCATATTGAACAAAATGGTTTTAAAAACCCTAGATGAGTTCTCAATACAATTATTTGCACCTCACCTACAGGTAAGTCGCACTGAATTAAATGAGGCATATTTTGAATCAACATGTAGAGACCACAGTATTATTTGCATAGTCCAAAGTTAAATATAAAAAGCCTATTCACAATTAATGCTATTGTAAATAGAAGGTAATCCTGGGGCTATAAACTAGACGGGGAATGATCACTGATTTATCCTCCCCCACTCAAGTCTAAAGAAAGTTTCCAGCATTTTTTATTAAAAATCAGCCCCAATTAATTTACACTGTGGTATTTTCAAAATTTTAATTATAAATCCTGCCCAAAACAGGACTTAAGCAATGAAGCATTGTTGAAGGATTCATAAAAACAAACCCAAATTATCCCATCAGTTACTATGCAGTCTACATTACATACATGTAGGCTTCAAAGCACAGGCAGGCTGACATTATAACATTAAACTGGAGTAAATATTGTACCTTTTTCTTAAATCAGTTATCCAATAATTACACCAATGCTTGAAACCAGCAAATCTGTCACTGCCCCAGCTAAGACTTAGATGGTATTCCCCTAATATAATTTGCAATGCTACTGCAAAGTTATAGTAGGATTAGAACCAACTTTCTCCTCTCCTTACAGGTCTAATTTAAGAAAAGAACAAAAGCCTAGCAAACTCAAGAAGGGGAAGAGGAAGAGGAAATTGTCAAGGAAAAAAGGTTTCAGTCAAATGCATTTCTAAAAAACATTTTACAAGTATCTGTTTTTCTGCCCAGATTTTCATCCAGATTTTGTGTAGGAATAGTTTCATAGGTATACACACAAACTGAAAAATAAATCCAATCATATTCACAACAGTAATTCTGCAGCCCAAAAACTGTTCATGAATGTTTGCTAACTTTCGGGATATTAACCCTACCTTTTACCAAACGGAAAATATTTTCTCTCCCTCCCTCCCTCCCTTCTACAGCAAACTGCCAGTACTATTTATATTACAATGCCCTCTTCTACTACTTGAAATATAGACCAGGATAATGCTGACATGAAAGAGTGACATGAAACATCAAGCAGTGATATAATACAGGTCTATTTTTATTGCTTCAGTAGTGGCTCTTCATTTGACACACATCAAATGAGATTGAGCAGAGATTGTAATGCAACGCCTAGAAACTATAGCACTTCCACACATACAACCTAAAGTATGGATCCAGTATGTAGATGACACCTTTGTTATAGTAAA